CTGTGGTCATAAAGGGATGGACATGGTCAGAAGATGGTACACTGTGGTCATAAAGAGATGGACATGGTCAGAAGATGGTACATTGTAGTTGGACAGGTGGATCTAATAAAGTGTGTTTTTGTAACTGCTTTCCTTTCAAACTAACAAACATCTTCCTGCTGAAGTATTTGACATGTCCTCTACCAACCTGTTGATTCATGTGTCTCTCCTCCTGACTCTGATGGRTTCTGGTCTCAGTCTAAATGTTGCACCGAGGTGGAAATAAAATCAAAGAGTTGAAGAGAAAGGGTAAGTTAGTAATTTTTCTCACATTTCTGTTTTTTTTTTTCCTGCTGAGCAGAGGAGATGCTCTGTATGCAAAAAAAGAACCAGCAAATTTGCTCATTTCCATAAAATGTAGTAAATAATTCATCAGATCATCAAGATGCTTCGGACTCAGCAGGAAGTCTGAACAACGTGAGCGAAACGAGCTCAGGTAAAGATCACATTTATCACTGACAAGATGAAGAAACTCAGCTTTTACTTTGGCTAATTGCTCACTAACGCTCTGCAAGTCAAATTAACTTCATTATTTGAGTTGTTGGTTCAAAACCCARCTCGGGTCGTCTGGGTTTTTTCTCTGTTAACTCAAATAAAAAAAGGGTTTTCTGATTTTTCTGGTTCTGTTTGGACTGAATAGAACCAGAGGGATGGTTCTGTTCCTCAGCACCAGACAGAAACTGAATTGCTGCTGTGGGTTTGATTGACACGAGGGTCCAGGACCTGCAGGGTCTCTTCTAACCTCCTGATCACATGGTTCTGTCAGGGGGTGGGCCGCTCCGTCCAGCTCTTAGAGCAGCAGGAAATAAAACCGTTTTGAATATTTTATATTCAAACTGGGCCGTGAAGTCAGGCTGGTACTTCTGAATATTTGGAGTTTTAAATCATCTGTCAGGAGCAAAGTGTGCAGGAGACCCCCGGTATCACCCGCTTTAATGACCTGTGTTCACTTTCTGACAGCTTGGTTTCATTAAAACCACATCAGCCGCAGCCGGGAGTCCCTTTTTAGTTTGAAAACTCCTGTTTGCATGACCACGACTGTTTGTTTACTGCHTGCATAAACGATGAGTCATCATTTTACTCGTTCTGCTCTTGAAATGGTTTGAACTTCTCAGGAGCTGTGCTCTCATTCTTTTAGCTTTTAGCTGCTGTTAGTTTTCAGTTTCAGCTCTCAGCATCCCAGCTTCCAGACTTGTGAAGTAACTAAGTACAAATACTTTGTTACTGTACTGGAGTAGAATTTTTGGGTGTCTGTACTTTACTTGAGTAATTATTTTTCAGCCTACTTTTTACTTTGTACATTTTTAAAAAAGTCAAGAAGTAGAAAGTTGTTCTTTTTATTTCATTTTTGCTTGTTTTCATTCCATCTTGTTATTGTAAAAAAT